TAAAAGCATCCAGCACCAAACAAAGCAAGCATTTTGTGTATTGTACTGAGATGTCTTCAGGATGGACAGAGAAGCCTTGGTTACAGGCTGCAGTAATATAGTTCAAGACTTCAGGCTTTAAAAAGGAAAAGGAAAAAAAAAAAAGAAATAGTGGTTTGCACGTTACTAGTCTCCCACCTACCTCATGGAAGCTGAGGGTACAGAAAAGAGTGGGGCTGGTGTTTGTTACACACAGATAAGCTTTTTGATATTTTGGAATAGGCACATGAACTTTCCGCTAGTAATATACAGTGAAGGAGTTAAATTTTAAACCATGCTTTTGTGCCTAGCAGGATTTCTAATAGTGTGGAAAGACAATAGAAGTGTCTACAAATAGCTTGTTGCTTTCCTTTAAAAAAAATAAAATAGAGCTCTGACTGCTAAAGTAATTCTACTATTTAAGCTCACAATTCAGTGCTTACAGCCTGAAGGACTAAAATATTTATGGGAAGCTCTTAGGAGCAAATTCCTGTTCAGTTAAACTAGAAGTGAAACCGGTTACCAGAACTTGGATATCAGACCTCTTCAGCTGGAGAAATATTTCTTAAAAAAATAAATTGTTGCACTGACCTAGATACTGAAGCCTTGGTGATTCTGTGTCAGTGTATCAGGTTATAGCTGTGTCTATAACTGTAAGGTTAGTGATTGAGTGATTGTTTACTTCTGTGAGACAAAGCTAGATAGTTTCCGTCAGCAATTCTAAATCTGAAGTTTCACTGTAATAATGCTCTCTTTAGAGATGAAGACAAGACTGATCTTAACTGTCATTATCTAACACTGCAAGCATAAGCCCAACTTTATTGATAACTGTAATTGCTCTTGTGCTGAATAGCTCCTGGCAAGGGTAAGGTAGGAAGCCTGACCAGTTGACCGTTGGGAACTCAACTGGCCTCATGCCAGGCTCGCTAGAGCTCTCTGTCCCGCTGTTCTGGTGATGCTCAGTGGAAAGGTTACAGCACTGATGATGGCACTGGCATTGCGGGGACCAGCAACAGGGATCAAAAAGATGACAGCCGTTCTGTAACTGGAGGATGAGGAGCTGAAGCCAGTATGATGTGAATTGCCATCTGTCTCTTTCTCAGCTCAGGCACCACTACTAAAGGTACAGAAACCACAACTGTATCACAAGTTGTGCCTTATGCAGGCTGTCAATAAAATGTCTCTTCTGATATTTTCCTGGGTATGCTCAGACCGGATTTCCAGAGCTGTGTATACACAGATACCTCCATCATTTTGGTGTGATATTTACTACCTTATATAAGTAATTTGTGTCACTGTGTAATATAGTGTGGTATTTGGCTAATGCAACTTCACAAAATCAGATGATATGCTACTGAAAAACATTGGGTCTATTTGTGTCCAGTTTAATAGACTGAAATGTGTATGCTTTTGAAAGAGGGTGTTTTCTTCATCATTTTATGCTCTTCCTGCTTTATACATAGATCCTAGAGATTTTGTGTTACTAAGCATTTTTAAAAGTAGTACGGAGGTTCCTTCTGTAATCTTGCAGTTGGTTTTGTATTGGGACACTGAAGAAAGGCAGGACGGGGAAGAAAAATCTTTGGGAAAAGGGATAAAGCTGATGTGTCATCTCCAAAAATGGTGGTGGAGTAGCCTGGAAGATGGAATAATTCACCTCCGAACTTAATCATTGGCCAAGTCTTGTGAATGAAAAAGAGTATGGCAAAATTACGCATAACAGAAGAAGAATCTTTGGGAAAAGGGATAAAGCTGATGTGTCATCTCCAAAAATGGTGGTGGAGTAGCCTGGAAGATGGAATAATTCACCTCCGAACTTAATCATTGGCCAAGTCTTGTGAATGAAAAATAGAGTATGGCAAAATTATGCATAACAGCAATCTAATTACACTTTGGAAAAACCTATCACTCGGTCAATTATGTTGTTCAATAAACTTATACTTTGAAAATAGTGCCAGTCTGGCTGCATCTCTCTTGTTAAGCTTGGAAGAATGGAGTGTGTGGTTCTGGAGGGGGAAAAAAAAAAAAAAAAAAAAAAAAACCAACCCCCAACATCCTGCCTTTACAGTCAAATTACTACCAGAAGATTTTAGGAGATGTATCTTGTCAGTAATAAAATACAATGTGACAAAATGGTGGTATTGCTTAGAATTGATTTGTGTCTAAAAAATAAACAGTATGCTTATTTCAAACAAGTTTGTTTCTCCAGTGATACCTGTATTTTTAAGTAGGGTATGTGAAGGTTGTACTAGCTCTGTCACTGCAAGCATTGTTTTTCTACAGGTGAAATCAGTGAAATAATGGTAGTAGAACCAATTAATAGTAGTAGAACCAAATTACTTTTTTTCAGTTCTCCTGTTGACACTGTGGAACTGTTTTGGTGCTTAAGGACGTAGTATAGTTACAGATGGTATTTCCAGACCACTACCTTTAAAGAGCTGGTAGTATAAACTCTTGCCCTTCACTGAGTACTAGGCTGCAGAGGTTCATAGAGCTGCTGCTTAACTCTCTGAACGTGTGTGTCCCTCTTGCAGTACTGTTGACAAAAACTTCATATTGGACTTTCATCTCCAGCCCCCAAGTATTGAACTAAGGTTGCTTTAAATCCATTTCATTCAGATATGAATGAACATCCCAAAGGTTACGAGGAACAAACGTGGTTTCTTTTTTCCTTAGCTTCTGGCTACAGTTGTGCTCCTTATGTAACAGATGAAACCTTTTTTTTTTCTTACCTACTAGTAGTGTGTAATTGCTGTACTGATAATTATTTGGAAGCTGGGAAGCCTGGGAGTACACAGAAAAGTGAACTTTACTCTAAAGGTGGCTATTTATTTTCCAAAAAGGGAATTTATTTCTAGTACACCTTCTACACTTCTGTATAGCTCTATGTTGTGATAGGGCAGAGGAACCTTAAAGTCAAAAGACTTTTTTGGGGGAGGCATGGTCTCTTAAGTCTGTGTCTGTTGTTACTTGTTTGGTCACACTACTGTGCTTTTAGAGGATGCAAAAAAGGTTTTGTTAGATATATTTAAATTTTTTTTTCAATTTGCTGTTAAATAACATTGAAACTTAAGTTTTAGGTAAAGATTTAAATCACTCAATATATCAAACCAAACCATTACAGCATAAGGCATCTAATTCAATACTGAAAAAAATTTGAAATACTGTTCTAATAACTGGTTTTACTTTGCTGATTAAGAATGAAAAGTACCGTTTTGTTTTCAGGCCTCCACCCGCCCTGTCTCAGGAGAGTGAGATACTGATGATGTTTGTCTAAAAGGATGGTTCCTTAACTATTTGATAGCATACAAAATGTAACCCCTGCAGAAACTGCTTAATAACAGAACTTTTGCAGTGACATGTCTGACTTGTATGAAACATTGCAATTATTAGCTTCATTGGCACTGTCAGAGTGAACTTTAAGTGAAAGTGACAGTAACTAGTCCAGACTTTTTTCATTTTGTTCGGGGTAAAACTATTAGACAGTAAGTGACTTACTGGTTTGATTGCTTTCAATTAGCAACCCAATTTTATACTCTTTTAATTATCATTTAATTGGATTGCCCCTTTACACTCAGAGCCTGGCAGCCAAACCAGCTGATGCAGTATTTGGCACAGCTGAGGGGGTGAAAATTTCCTGCATAAATCTTTCTCCAGAGGATATGTTACTGTCAGCATAGAAACTCTTCTCTGGAAGTGGCAAATCTGCTTTAATATCTCCTTTCCAGCCTCTAAATTTGCACCCTGTCATTTGTGCTTGACTCTAAATCTGCTATTTGAGTGGTGGTTATAACTGAGAGGGCTGAAGCCTCCGCAGTAAAGCCTTGAATGTAAAATGTAACCAGATAGTACATATGAACAGTTCTTAAATTAGATTCAAAAAGGTAATGTTGGTATATGTGTAAGTTGCTTAGGAAAGTGTGTAAGTTGTCCCTGTAACTGTTCCAAGAGATTAATTGTCATGTCCTTGCATGTTCTTAGTGGAGGGGGAATTAGTGTTGTAAACTGACCTTTGAGAGTGAACTTGAGGACAAGGCAGGGGTTTAGGGATGCTTTTGAAAAGGGACAGGAAGAGAAAAGAAAAGAAAGAGTCAATGGTTGAGGGACTGAAGGAGAAGTAGTACCTGGCAGCCTTGCTGGGCTGGGAGAAGAGACCTTCCCTCAGCCTTCAGCTACAGCCCTCTCCCCTCCCCTGGCAGAAAGAGGAGGCGGGAAAGCACCAGCAAAAAAAAATGAGGAGGAAATAGGAAGGACATGTTGCTCTCCCTTTACTAGTCCTGGACTCAAAATGTGGAGAACATCATCCTCTCTGGAGCTGATTGCATGTGTGGGCTTAAAAGAAAAAAAAGTCCACCATCTGGTGGCTGGGATTCTTTTTTTGTCAGCTTCTGGCTCCTCTGTAAACTGTTTTGGGAGTGGGGAGGGAGGGCTGTTTATATTGACGTTAAATCAGTTAGTAGAGGAATCTCTTTTTTAACTTCCCTCTGTAATCCTCAGGGTTAAATGTTTTCAGCTCATAGTTCAGTTGCAGTTATTTGTAGCTGGCATTCACATTTGCTCTCTAATTCAATTTAGATGATGCTGCTTGGCCCAAATTAGAGCGGACTAGTACAAGGAGCTTGGTGCATGTAGAAACCGGTCACTAACTCCGTACTTAAGGTCATCCAAGTAGAGCTGTAAATATTTCCCCTGAGTTTTAAGATGTAGTTATCTGGCTTAAATTCACTTGTGGAATTGTGATTTATACTGTGAGATCTTATTTGTCTGACATCTCAACTACTGAAAATGCTGAGTAACAACCTTATTGTCCATCACCAAAATACTGTAATACTTACTGTAATAAAAAAATTAATCCATAAATTTTCAGTTCCAGCTGTTTGCTAGTTAGTTATTTGTTAGAGTCTATTTTCTGAATAGCTTCCAGCTACGCATTCTTCGGAGAGATGCAATTTTATTCATACATGTATCTACTTATAGGTGAGGAATTTGAAACTGGAGCATGAGCAGGAGAAAAACAAGATCTTGTCAGAAGCATTAGAGACGCTAGCTACAGAACACCATGAACTAGAGCAGTCTCTGGTTAAGGGATCTCCGCCTCTCAGCATCATCAGTGAAGAGCAGTTCTATGATGCAGTTTCAGGTAAGTGATGATGTCCAGAATGTGAGTGTGTAGTCAGCATGTGTGTAGTGAATGTGGGCAGAGGGGGGAACAATCTCACTTTAAGTGAAATCTCTGCCTTTCTAACATGGAACTAATTTTAGGAGAATGCTTCATGTGCTTTATGAGTAGGCCTCTAAAATTTTGCCTGAGTTCACCTGTAGAATTGTATTGTTTCACTTTAGCATGAAAAAAAGTTACAAAACCACAGGGCAGTCGTGAAAGGTCTGATTGCTTGGGTGTCTACGCCCTTTTTTTAAATAGCAAAACTTAAGGCTCCTATTTTAGGAGATGTAACTGTATCTGGTAGCCTTCTGACTTGCTTTCTCCATGGTGGTGTGGTTTTTTTTTTTCGTTTAAGATTGGTCCGTAAGCCTCTAGTTTTGAGGGATAATGAGGTTAAGGCTTGTTTTATTTCAATTTTGTACACATTAAGTGTCACAGTTGGAAGAAAAGGATGAATCAAAATCCTGCGTGCATTTCTGAAATAACTTTTTGTTCCCTGTCTGTTATTCAGTTTAGTATCTTTCACATTTTCATGTGCAGAACATGGAAATAGTGATTTTGAAAAACTCTGAACTCCATAAGATGATTACAAGATGCATTTGTATAGAGAGGCTATACATAGTGCCGCTCAGTAATACCTTTAACTGGGTGATCCTGAAGCACACAGCTGGCTCTAACTATGAAGGATCTGGAAAAACTTGAGGGTGAACATAGTCTAACTGTAGCAGATAATTAGGTTGTGATGGCATACTTCACGAGCAAGTATGGAGTTACTTTTTCTGCGAGCTGAACTGTCTGATGCTTCTGAGGGATAAGAGCGGTGTTCCCAGACTCCTCCATAGGTGTTCTGCAGTGTGCAGCTTAAGCAGAGAATAAACCCGGGCAAAGTGGAGTCTATGCTCAGGTATAGCACTAGCACAGGAGCACAGCGAATCGATGACAGACTTTGCTGCTTGGCACAGTAACAAATTTGTCAAGCTTTCAAGGAGGAGAAGAGATTGAGAACACTAGAAACAGGTTCTTCAACCAAAACCAAAAGAACAATTCTTCTGAAAGACCTCAGGCTCTTTTGCTTGTTGCGACAAAGCAGAGAATAGTTGTTTATCTGGTGCTGCTGGAATGTAGTCTCTCCAGCCAGGCTTGCTTTGAGGGAATACTCAGTTTTAAAGAGCTGTTAGTCTGTACATCTCTTAACTGACCCAGTCTCTAAATCTTCTTGAATGAAAGTGTCCAAAGCCACCTCCTCTCTAATTGGGAGAGATGGTGTGTTTGTCACTTGAAGCAGCAAACAAATCGCATGAGTGGATTTGTGTGACTGAAATTTGTTGATCACATATATATATTTATATGTACACACACATATACACATGCATATAAAAAACATCTCTGTCGATTCTCTCTTCTTTGGGAGAAGTTACTTGACATATTTCATCTTGATTGCAATTTAAATAATTTTCCAGGACAGACTCACTTTCTTGGCTGGCTCTCAGCTTCATCAGACTTGTGTTAGATTCTCTTCTCTAGGTTGTTCACATTCAGTGCTTTGCAGTGATTAGGGTTCTCTCTCTCTCTGAAGGCAGGTGTTTGGGGGAAGGGCACTCTGATTTTTTAATTTTTATTATTGGGGGGCGGGGGGGGGAAGGGGGGCACAGCACTACAGAAAGAGAAATGTCACATTTTCCTGGCTGCTGGATGTATGTTATGACTTTCACAGTAAGTACAAAAGGAAGTAGTTTTTTTGTGGGTGTGGTTTGGGGTGAGTTATTTTTGTTAATTGCTGGGATCCTGGTAATACTTTCAAACCCTCTTGCTTTTCTGCCATGTCTGTGGAGTCTCAACTAGAAGGCTTCTTGTCTCTCTATGACAAGAATACAGTGAGAGCAGAGGAGTCGGGGATATTTGACACTGGCTCAGAGTTTGGGGATGTGGGTTTTCTTTCTTGGGCTAATGAGACAGGATATGAACATAAATACTTTCATAACAGAGAGCAGTGACTAGGCCTAATTGTCAGAAGCTAAAAATTTCTATCTCAAGAAATCTAAACTGCTAGGACTTTGTCTTCAAAGCTTTTACTAAACCTGATTTGCAATCTGATAGTATTTTATTAAGCTAAATGGTACTGATTTTGGATAAATAGACATATTCATGAATTATCTTACTAAGCTATATAGGAGATTGAGCAAACACTAATGTATTTAACAGGGTGACGTGACAAGTTACAATGTCTGTCAGTGGAAAAATGCCACTACTTTGAAAGTATTTTTTCCTGTTAGGATATCATCTTTTTCTAGTTACAGTTCTCTGAATTTTTGAATCTCCACTGTAGGAGTGAGTTTAGAAGTGAGAGTATTGCATAACTAGGCTTGCACTTTGAGCTGAAGAATCGTTATCTTTGACTTGACAGGTTGAAAGAAGCAGCCACTGGTGCTTTGGTTTTCTTTTTTGAAAGAACGTTGTCTGCATATTAGACACTTCTGCCTGTTTACTCTCAACAAAAGTATCACTAGCTGTGACAACTCAAAGCAAATCAAGACTTTTCAAACAGGTTTTTGAATAAGTGTATTAGAGAGGATATGCTCACAGCAGCAGCTTCTTGTCCCCATTTACCATGCTCTGATTCACATTGTAGAGCAATCTGATTGCATGAACCAGACTCCTGAACGAAGCTGAATCAGAAGATATGGTCCAGTTGCTGTTGGACGCTCAGTTCATGGAAGGAGAGTAGAGCTAATTTGGAGAGACCACTGCCAGAAATGTATCTAGTTCAAGCGTTAAGTCCTCAGTACCGTCTTGCTTGCAGATCAGCTCCAGACTAGCCATGCTACCTCCTAATGTTGGCATGGACTAAATTGGTCACTGGTGTTGTGTAGTTCTGTTTGTAGAAATTGTGGGTGCAATCACAGAAATATCCTCTTTCTTTTCAAAAACTGAAGTGAAGAAAATGTTTGTAATGTGAAGTAGTAGTTTATTTGCTGAAATCTCTCCTCTTTTTAAGTGATATGCTATTATCAGTGCTTTCCGACTGGTGTGGTAACTCCTAAATCCTAAAAACTGCATTCCCTGCAATGGGAAAGCAGTGGACACTGAAAAAGAAAAGAACCACCTACAGGAAATGGGAGTTATTTGTATTACCAAGCACAGTATCCAGTTTTAAGAACAGCAAAGTTAAGGGTGTTATTAATCTGAACTCTGATAGCAATAGAGTGCTTCCCAGTACGCTGATCCTCTCATCATGGGAGTGGTGGAAATGTGTAATTAAACTCGATAGCACGTGGAGTGCTGGAGCTCTCGGTTTCAGGACTGAATGCTTAACATGTGTCAAACTCTTCTATGTTTAAAGCTGGGTGGGGTGGGGAGGGGCATTGGGGAAGGGAAGAAGCACTAAATAAATAGCAAAATTTAAATAGCAAGATCCAATGGCATCTCCTGGAGAGCTGGAGAGGTTAATAGCTTTAAGTATACAGACCTCAGGAAGCATATGAAAACAGTACAAATGCAGAGTCCATCCACAGTGCTGAAAAATGGCTAAGCAGGTCAAGAATTGAAGGGTGAAGATACTTGATTTTTGCCTTGTAGATAAGATTCCCTGATTATATGCAGATTGCACACCCAGTTTGGGAAGATCTTAAAACTGTTCTGATCTTTAAGAGGTTTTATCTGAGAGGTGGGGTTTTTCTGCAAACACAGCTTTTGTGTGCGGTGAGGGGGGAATATTGATGGTTTTACGTAAAAACAGTTACTTAGATACAAGAATGTTTAGATTATATTAAAGCTAACCTGTCATCTGTACCTATTATGTACCACTAATGGATGCGATGTTTATAAATAATGCTCCTAAATGGTACAAGAAGTAGTAGACTAGTTCTGTTGCTTTTGCTCACCTTCTAGTCTGTCTCCAGTTGTCAGCTCACTTAAAAATAAAAACTGTACAAAAAGCATAGAAACTTACTGCCCTTCCTTCCATATTTAGGGTAGTTTGTCAGGTGGCTCTTTTTGAATGTGTACGAAAAATTCTCCACAACCTCTGCGAGAACACTGCTGCCTGTGGACTTCTTGACTTGAATAAACTTAAAGGAAAGAATTCAGGTATCTCTGAGAGGGATGGGAAACACCTGATCAGAAATCAAATGTGACCTTGCCAGTGGTTAAACACTACCTTTCTCAGGTCTATTTATTAACCAAATACATTGGCCAAACTTTTCAATCTGGAACTGAAGACTTATCAGTTGTTGCAATAGGAGATGAACTTCCCTTGAGTTAAGTTTCTGTCACTGCTTCTGCTGTTTCCCCTTGCTCCCCAAGTCTTGCAAAATGTAGCTGGTGTTTTCACTGTTACCCTGACACTTCAGGTTTCATGAGCTGGAGAGCTTCCTAGTCAGCCTGGTCTTGTCTCAAAGATCACTTAAAAATTTTGGCTTCTGAACAGGGACTCTTATTCTTCCCCCCCCCCTTCTCAACCCACACCCCCTTAAGTTCAATAGAACACACACCCCCCTCATTTTCTCCTAGTCATCTGTTTTGACAGCTGCTCTGTAGCAACTTGTGAATATAAATCTTTTTTTGCAGTGACGGGGGAGTATGCAAATCTTAATTCAGAAAAGAGTTAGCTGCAAGTACACGGCAAAAAGCTCAGTTTGAGTTGCCTGTTGACCTGTGCTCGCGATACAATACTGGGCTTGTTCACTCTGACACCTAAGCAAACTCTCAAGGCTTGTTAAGCTCCTTGGGTCAAAGGAGGTAGCTGAGGTTTAGGGATTGGAGATTGAGATCTTTGATGGCAGGACCTGTGGTAGACATGCTTTCTCGATGACAGCCATTTCTTAGGAAAATGGGAGAGATGCCTCTGGAGAGCAATTTCTTGTAACAGTGTCTGGTTTCTTTCTTCTACTGTTCTTTACTGTACAGCATGGTATTAAGTAAGGCACGTGCCTTGGAGAAGGCTGGCTGGTCAGTGTCTACAGCTCTGGAGTGGCTTGCAGGTGCCGAGCTCAGTCCAGCATAATTCTCTCAGCACCCTGAGGCCAGCATTAGGAGAACTGATCCATGTGCAGTGTTTAAAAAATCTTTGTTATATTGAGAAGCATATCAGAGTGGTCAGCCGTTCTGGTGAAGTTTACCTGTTCTTCCTTTTCTACCTCTGGAGTCCTAGGCCTGTTGCAGAAACTCAAATTGCGGGAATTTGTGTGTTGTGACTCTTGCCTGAAAACAAGGTGGTCCTGGATGGTATGGGAGAAGAAAGGAGCCTTACAGGAGGCAGAATCTTTGCTTTATGTTACTGGGTTTGCTCATGCTTTTCTTGTCACGATGACTATTGGCACAGTTGAGCAGCTCTTTCAGTAGAGAGGTGGAATAGTTACCTTGAAGGGATTTATAGCTTGTCACATGATCAGGATGCTGAGGCCCAACTTGTGTTACACCGCTAGAGCATCTCTTCCTCTGTCAATATTTGGATATGCAGCAGTGTTTTCCTGACTACCTGGGCTTATGATCTCTGGAGAAATCTGTATTTTATGTAACAGACTTGTCCACAAGTAAAAATGCTTCTCCTTATCCTACTTGTTATATATAGTACCCACCAAACTAATGCTTTGATATGTTAGATCAGAATTTGGCACAGAACTAGACTGATAAATTTGGGGAAACTTGTGAGAAGATTCTCTGGAGTGCCAGTCCACTTTTTTAACATATCCTCAGCACCAGCTGGCAGTTCTTTTCATTCCCTAGCAACTGGCTTAATTTCAGTACTGTCTTGACAAGGATAGGGATGGATGTTTTTAGTGAAAGGGAAGATCTGCTTTATGCTTCTAGATCTCACTCTTTCTGGAGAGGATGGAGACATTGTGGCACAGCCCATCCATTCATCAGGATTTTGCCCTGTTCATGACCCTTCTATAATTCAGATGTAGTAGAAAGTCCTGTTGTCACTGTCCCCTTCACAAAAGCAACATATAACTTACGTGTTCTGCAGAAGCTACTGGCATAGTTTTTTAAGAGAAAACAAGAAAGCACCTGGCAATGGGCAGCTGTGATCAAGATATTCTTTTGGATAGATTACTACTTCAGTAGGTTTTGGTTACTAGTTTTGAATTAGAATCAATGTGTGAGAGAATGACTAATCTTGCAATGATTTCTCTGGGTATTTGCAGCCAAGAGCAGAAACGTATGCTGAAAGGAGTACATAGCA